CAAGTCCCAGACTCAGCAGCTTAAACACGCCGGGTGCATGTGCGTGCATGCCCAAGATCCTGAGAGGAGAATGGAGAAGGGATTGTGGCATGGCCATCCCCCCTGGGTGGTGATTTCTCGCTTTCTATCTTTCTGTCTCTCTGTCTTTCTGGCGAGTGCACGCGCCCTTTAGCGAAAACCTCTCAAAAAAAAAAAATGTAAACTGGTGCAGCCTTTATGGAACACAGTATGGAGGTTCCTCAAAAAGTTAAAAAAAGAACTATCATATGATTCAGCAATCCCATTTCTGGATATATATTTTGCATGTATTTCCAAAGGAAATGAAGTCAGTATGTCAGAGAGATCTGCACTCCCATGTTCACTGCTGCACTATTCGCGACAGTCAAGATACGGATTCAGCTTGTCTGCCAAGAGATGAACAGATGAAAGATAACGTGGCATACACACAACCCACTCTTGAAAAAGACAGACATCCTATCGTTTGCAACAACGTGGACAAACCTGGAAGATTACAATGAGTGAAACAAGACAGACTCAGGAGGGCAAATACTGCATGTTGTTGCTGGGGAGAGGAAAATGGGAGGAGTTGGTCAGGATGCAAAGTTTCATTTATGTAAGATGAATACATCCTAGAGATCAGCTATACAGCACAGGATTCTCATTAACGACACTGTATTGTATGTTTAAAATTTTGCTAAGGTAGCTCTAATATTAAGTATTTTTATCACACACATTTGCATGCAAAATAACACTAAACAAAGAAGATAAGCGGGAACTTCTGGAAGTGGTGGACATGCTCATGGCACAGACTGTGATGGATGGTTTAACAGGTAGAAAATCACTTCCTAACTCACCAAGTTGTATACATTAGTATGCGTGGCTTTTTGCACGTAAAAAAATAAAAAAGGAAAATCAGCAGCTGTTCAGTGTTCATCTCTGTGTTGTGTCCTGATTTATGTAACTGCAGCCTTGTGATGGCCACCTGGGCTGTTCCGCTCATTTTGCTGCTACGAACGACAGTCGGCATTAAGTACCTGTTGGAGCGTGAGTCAAGCACATTCCCAGGAGTCTGTCCACTGGATCAGAGTAGACATACGGCACTGCTTTTAGGGCTATCAGATTTCCCGCTGACATTCGGCCATCTAACAAGCTCAATCTCCCACATATACCTTTACCAATTGTATTTGAACTTTTTAAAAAATAATTTTATTTATTATTATAATTTGCTATACAGCATGTGCGCTCAAAAGGGAGAAGGAAAATGAAAAAGCAAGCCTCTAAGTCCAGGACTCAAACTGTGGCTGGCTATGTAGGAGTCCAGCGCTTCAAATACCATGCCACTTGCTGGTCCCAATATTTGAACTTTTTCATCTCCGCTAATCTGATAAAAACGGTCTCTTGGGACCAGCAGTTGGTGTAATGGTTATGTCGCTGGACTCCCATGTAGTTGACGGCAGTTCGAGTCCCAAACCCGGTGGTTTAAACTCACGCTGGGCGCATGTGCATGTCCAAGATCCTGAGAGGAGAACAGAGGAAAAGAGACTGTGGCGTGGCCATCTCCCCTGGGGGGGGGTGATTTCTCGCTTTCTCTCTCTCTGGTGAGTGCACACACCCTATAGCAAAAACCTCACACACACACACACACAAAAAGGTCTTATCCTATAAGCATTCTGGTAGAGTATCAAAAAGCTTAGCCATGTTGGTCAGGCCTTTGACTAGAATGTCATATCTGAAGATTAAACCAGAAAATTATGGAACTAACGTAGGTCTCAAATAAGTCAACAGAAGCTCTTGGAAAGATGGCCTGGTACCATAAACCTGGCAGAGAGGATTAGAGAAGCTACATGAAAGAATTTGTCTATAAAATAACCTGGCGTTTTCCAGCCCAGCATTGTAATCAGTAGAGACTGCAAAAGAGCAATCACAACCAGAGGATTATCTTGAGGAAGACTTTGGAGGAAGATGAAGGGACCGATCTTTACTAGCAGATGGTGTATCACAGAATATTTGGTAGGCTGGGCTGAATGGAGAAGATACATGTGTGACTTGAGTGCCGCTTTTCAACAGTCTGCTTTTCAACAGTTTGAGTTATCTTTAAATTCATTTTTTGAAATTTTGAAAGTTGTTTATTAACTGTCAAGAACTATGGAGTATGAGCAAAAATTTGATATGTAAAGTAAATGTTTGTGGGGAAATTAAAAATAAATTTTTTTTAAAATCATTTGATTTCTCCTCCCCAAGTCCCTAGAACCACTCATCTACTTTCTGTCTCTATGGATTTGTCTATTCTGAAGACATGAAGTAAATGGAATTATGCGGTATATAATGTATTTCACTTAATTTTTATGCATGCCATAAAGAAGATATTCTTTTGCATGTGGATATCCAGTTGTCTCAGTACCATATGTTGAATAAACATTTATCCCTACCTCCACCCCCACCCCAAATAAAGGCTTAGACATGTGCATCTCTTGAGGATCAGAAATCCCACTTCTAGGGGCTGGCAGGTGGTGTGGTGGTTGAGGTGCTGGACTCCCACATGGCTGACCACAGCTCAAGTCCAGAACCTGGAGACTTGCTTTCTCACACTCCCTTTCTATCTCTCTCGCTGATTAAAAGTGAAGAATAATAACAAATAAAAGTACAAATAAATAAATCTAAAAAAAAGAAGATGCTCAATGATCAAATGTAAATTTAAAAAAGAAATTCCACTTCTGGGAATAGAGCCAGGGAAAAAATAGACTGGTGAGCAGGGTGTCCACTGCAGGTAGAGCACAGACTTGCTTAGAATCCCTTTCAGGTTGCTTTTTTTGGGGGATAAGTAACAAACGGACACATTCTCATTCCTAAAACTTTCAAAGCACAGGGCCAGCCCCAGTAGCATGCTTAAGTGCCATGCACAGAAAGCCAGATCCCATATGACCTACCACAGCTAGAATCCCAATTCTGGTAGCTTAAGGAATGGAGAAATGGGAGGAAAATGGGACTGCTGTATGACCAACCACATCCCACTGGGGATGCTCCCTCTCTCACAAAGTGCATGATTACCCTCTCTGGTAATCAAAAATACAAGAGAAAAAAATTTTTTTTTTTTTTTAGGTTTCTTGCCATGCGGCAAATGTGCTCTCCAGAGATAGTCAGAGATTGAGAGAGAAAGTGAGAAATCACTCCCCTGGGAGTAGGGGATGGCCATGCCATCATCCCTCCTTCTCCATTCTCACCTCAAGATTTAGGGTATGCATGCACATGTGGCCCAATGTGTTTTTCAGGCCACTGGGTCTGGGACTTGAACCTGCGGAATCTGCCATGTGGGACCCAGCACCTTAAGTACCACGCCACCTGCTGGTCCAAGAAAAAAGATTATTTTTAAAGAAAGCTTTTCAAATATAGACGGAATGAACTCCTTTTGTCCCTTGACCCTAACTCTCAAAGGCTCTCAACTACCATTAGTTGCTGTGTCTCTCTCTAGAATACTTGAGTGTTTACAATAACTTTTTAAAAAGTTTTTGCCACAAGGTGGGTATGCTTGCCAGGAAGCAGAGGGAGACAGTAAGAGGTAAAGTGACAAACCACTCCCTAGAGAGATGTCCACACTGTAATCCCTTTCCCTCCATTCTCCTCTCAGGATTTTGGACATGCACCCACCTGTGCCAGGCATGATTTTCAAGCCACCAGGTCTGGGAATTGAACTGCCGTCACACATGTGGAGTCCAGCACTTTAACCACCACACCACTTGGCCCAAATGTTTGTAACAATTTAAAACAAACATGAAAGTTGCTTTAAAAGGGGGCACCAGCAGGTGGCATAATGGTTGTCACTGGACTCCCATATAGTTGACCGTGATTTGAGTCCCAGACCCAGTGCCTTTAAAACACACTAGGAGCGTGTGTGTGAATGCCCAAAATCCTAAGAGGAGAATGAGGGAGAAAGAACTGTGGTATGGCCATCCCCCTGGGGGCAGGGGTGATTTCTTGCTTTCTGTCTCTCTGACTCTGTCTCTGCGGTGAGTGCACATGCCCTATAGAAAAAATTTGTTAAAAAAAAACAAAGGAAGAAATTTATATGCATTCTCCCTTCAATTCTAAATTATGATCAATTTAAAACACACATAAGAGTAGAAAGAACACCAGAATCCATCCCCTGCATGCATCGCCTAAAGCTGACCATCAGCACTTGCTCCAGTTGCTTTTCCCTCTGTGGAGGACGGTCAGCAAGCACGAGGCTGCTATTTCACCCCAATTACTTCAGCATGTGCCTCTCAACGTTAGGGTTGTTTTCTAAAAAAGCCCTCCAGAGAAGCCATGTCGCCCCAGAAAATTAACAAACAGTCCTTTCTTGAAAATGTCAGTTTATTTTAAAATAATTTCCAGTGTATATGTCTTGCTCACGCTCTCCACGCAGATACCATTTGCCAGTATTCCCAAGTGCCGAGAAGAATCCTGACACCTGAGAATCCCAGCAGACGCCTCAGCTCAGGCACCTTCCTACTTGCCTCTTCCTTGTCCTTCCCATTTCCAAATTATACAAGTACTATTTTCCTAATAGGAAAGCTGAACAAAAGATGCACAAACACCCTTCAGTGTGCCCCCTGGGAGCCCCCCAGCTCACCAGGTGTGCACTCACCAGCCTGCTGGGCCCAATGGCTATTCACAAAAATCCTTATGCTGATATCCAGACCAGACCAAGGTGCTCCCAAGCTCACCCCAAAACCATGACTCAACAAGAACCAAACCTCCCATGCCAAAAAATACCAGGGAATTGCCTTCTGTCCTCAACTGCTCCCACCCAGCTGCACTCCCGAGCCTGACACATTCAGGAGCAGTGTCCCATGGCCCCCACACAGCCCTCCCATGCAGTGGGCCGGAGGGACGTGCACCATCCAAGGAAAACACCAAGACAGAGCGCCACTGAGTATGCCCACCCTGTGCTGAGGAAAGAACAAAGGCAGCCCCAGGCAGATGTACCAGTTGAAGCCAGCAGGGGGCATCCTGTCTGCCTAGGTTTCTATAGGGGATGATGGGGGAGGGCAGGAAGCCCATGACCACTAAGGGAGTTACAGGGATATGAAGTGGGTTGGATGGTTCCCACCCCCTCCAAAGATACAGTCACATACTAATCCTAGGAGCCTGTCAAAATAACTATTGGAAAAAAGGGTCTTTGCAGATGTAGAAGTTCAAAATCCTGAAACGAAGAGGTTATCCTGTGGGCCCTAAATCCAAACGTCAAGGTCCTTTTAAGAGACACACTTGAGAGGACCAGTGGATGGTGTAGTGGTTGCATTGCTGAACTCCCATGTGGTCGAGCACGGTTCAAGTCCCAGACAGGGTGGCTTGAGCTCATGCCGGGCACATGTGCATGTGTACCCGGGATCCTGAGAGGAGAGTGAAGGAAGGGGCGCTGCAGCGCGGTTATCCTCCCCGCAAGGATGAATTCTTGCTCTCTTTCTGGTGAGAGCACTCGCCCTACAGCAAAAGCCTCTTATTTTTAAGACATACTGAGGAGATACAGATAGGGAGGAAACACACTGGATACAGATAGGGAGGAAACATGTCTTCTCCCTCCAATTCCTTATGATAAGGAATGGATGAAAATGAAGGGAGAGGCTGAAGTAATGCTCCTATGGGCCAAGGTACCACCAGCAGCTAGAGAGGGGCAAGTGATAGGACCCCCATTTATGCCCCCCGCCAGCCTTGGAAGACAGCCAGCACCTCGATTTTGGACTTTGGCCTCAGAACCGTGAAAGAATTCAGTTTAAGCCACCAAGCTTGTAGAAATTCATGTGGCAGCCACAGGAAATGGACACAGGACATTCATTCAACTATCATACTTTTCTGTTTCAAAATTTCTGCCATTTATAAGAAAACTTAATGGCACAGTCTTCATCAGTGGATCGAGGTTGCAGCAAGGTGGAGAGGTCCTGCAAAAGGAACTGGGTTCACCAGAGTGGGGCCACAAGGAGCAGAGGTCCCTCGAGGTCCCTGTCCCACCTAAATACTGTGATCTGGTGGGTCTCCAGGCCCCTTCATATCCCCTCTCCTACTGGGCAGCTCCTATTCCTGGAACCCTTCCAAGCACTGTCCACCTTAGGGCCTTTGCATGGACCATCCAGGTGGCCTCTGCCCCCTCGCACCATCGTTAGCTCAGGACCACCTCACAGAGGCCCCCACCACCATCCATCCTCAACCCTGCCCCTCCCAGCAAATCACTGCATTTTGCAGGGTTTCCACACTCTCTCTGCTTCAGACCCCTGGGTAGACACAGGGAACATGGGCACTGAACAGGCTAAGCGTGGAGCCTTCCTCGGCTGCAAGGGCCCTCCTATGACCACTATAACCTCCCGGGGGAGTGTCAGAGGCAGGCAGAGGGTGGACCCTGATGCAGAGTTGGGCTGTCCCCTCACAGCAGTCCATTGGCAGCCCACACTCACTTGGAGTAAGCTCAGTGTGCAGTCAGGGACAGGACCTGGCCTCGCTTCCCAAGGGGACTTCACCCCCATCTCCAAGGGTGAGCCTGGCAAGTTCCAGACAAAACAATGACGTAACCCCAGGCCCAGGTACATAGCCAGCCATGAGGGCACCACCCTGGGTGATCCCCAAAGGCTTCGTCCTCCCACTCAGGCAGGCTGGTGGCATAACACAGAGGGTTTATTCAGACCCTTCCACAGCCCAACAGTTCCACACCTGAGCTCAGAAGGCCTATCTGTGACACAACCCCTTCTGGGTTCCAAGTCCACATCCTGGCAGACAGGTTCACTCAGCACTCAGGAAGACCTTCTTGCGTGCAGTGTTGGTGTAGGGGTGCCAGCGCCACTCCACGTCTGCTGTGGCCTCCTGCTCCAGTGTGCCCAGGCGAATCATGTATGCTGTGGACAGGGGATGGAGACATCACTGCCTGTACCACCAGCCCTCTGCCCTGGGTCACAAGAGAAAGCCCCACTCACGCTTCAGCTCAAAGCGAGGCCCGACTTCAGTCAGCTCCACATTGCGGTGGTCTGTCTTCTTGTAGATGTGGTGCCTGCGAAGGGATCCAGACAGGGCACGGGTCATAAAAAAGCAGTGCAAGGGACACAGGTCAGGATGCCACCTCAGAGCTGAGCCCACAACCCACCGGAATGAGATGTAGTCATCCTGGTTCGCGAAGGTGATGACTCGGTGGCTGTCATCTTTGGGCACGGGGAACAGGTAACGGAGGATGTCAGACACCTTGGCAGAGGAAATGAGTGGTGAAAGCCTGGTCTGGCCTGGCCCCCGTCCTTGTCTTTAGGCCCCCAGGCCATACTCACCCGCTTGCCCAGGCGGGAAGAGAAGCCGTGTGTGATGAGGTGGGGCTTGGCCTCTGACATGGTGCCCAGGTCAGGGATGTCATGCCGCATGACAACATTGCAGAGTGTGAAGTACGCGGTAGGGCCAAAGGGTAGGTGGCTGACAATGAGCCCCACTGGCAGGGCCAGGAAGGCAGTTAGAGACCCCATCGGTCCACAGACCATCCCCCGACCCCTTCTCCCTCCCACCTGCCTCACCAGGTGTGCCTCGATGTTCGTGGACTACCAGGAGGTCGGTGACCCCATTGGCTTTGCAGGCTCGCACCAGTGCCCCCACCTCATGCCGGCCTCGGTTCATGCGTTGGGCACCTGGGAACACCAGCTTCAGCTCCTACACACAGACCACAGCACCTGGTCAGGGCTGGGTCGCTGTGGGCACCCCCTAGTCCCTCCCTGTCCCCCAGTACCTTTGCAAACATCTTGAGGCGGGAACTGGGGTCTCTGGAAGTGGTGATCATGACTTTTGGATCCTCAACCCCGGCCCATCGATACTCGTCATCCACATGGCTGGTCACACCTACCAGGAGCACAAGGGGCAAGAATGTGACCTTGTCTTGGGAGCAGAATGCTAACTCAGGGGTAGCAGAATTTGTCTAGAGTGGCCTGTGTGATGGGGCATTAACAAAGAAATGCTGGGCAGGGCAGCGTCCGGCACACGGGCCACGATGGCAAACTTACCATTATCATTTGATGTTCACTTACGCTGTGCTGGTCACACAGGGCTAGTGAGGACAAGTCAGACGGCACAAGGCCGGAGGCAAGACTCCGAGCATAACAACATGATGAGTGAAACTTGTGGGGAAGCTGGGGACACCAACTCCTGACAGACGGTCCAGCAAGGAGACACTCAACACAGGACAGGGAATGCTGCTGAGGGTGGTGCAGATGGAGCTGGGAGCCCAAGAGCACCTGAGGGGCTATGGGTGCAGCACAAGGGTAGGATGGGGATGAAGGAGCAGCAGCGGTGGGGCTGCTTCCTCAGGTGTCCAAGGAGGGGCTGGAGAAATCAGGCTCCCTGTGGGAGAGGAGTCTGTTCACAGGGTCAAGAGGGCTATACATATAGTCACCTTCACCACCAGCGTCATCAAACTCCAGGGACCCTTGTAAGGCTAACGCTTCCCGGCGTAACTCCGTGGGAATCAGGCGGTTTTCTGCGGCAAGAAGACAGAGGGACTGAGTGAGACACAAGCATGGAGCCCTCAGTTACGCAACACTGCAGCTTACAAACCTCCTTCCTGAGCAGAAGTGCTATAGGGTTATTAGGAGGGAGAAACCTGACAAACTACTTTGTCTACATGTCAACCTGTAAACAGTGCTTACTGGGGACTTTATTTTCCACAGTTCTTGAGTCTCATAACTTGAGGATTTTCTAAAATATTTTATCACAAGTGCTTCCAGATGCACGGCCTAGACAGGCTCTGGGTCAGAAGAACATGGTTGGCGTGCCCAGTTTACAGCATACAACAGAACAGGACCAGCAAGGACTCTGCCCAAGTCTGCAAAGGTCCCCAGGGAGACCCTTGGACATAGAAAAGAACACAGCAGCAGTTCCGTCCTAACTACCCGAAAAGAAAATAAACTCATTGTTACTCATGGGAAAAAGGACAAAGACCTCGTGGAAGTCACCTGAAGGAAACCCCACACTACGTTTGAAAGATTTTAGAAGTGATGCTGAACAAACAAGGACGCTGCAAAAGAGCCGTGTGTGGCCTAAACTACTTGGGACCAAGAGTGTTTTGGATTTTCTCAGATTTTTAAATATTTATGTATATGAGATAACTCAAAAAACCTCATTAAAAAAAAAAAAACAGAATTAAGTATGAGTTTATTCTGATGTAAAAAAGAAAAAACCCTGAAATTCACATGTATTTTGATAAAATATGCATTTTCCACGAACTTTTTGAAATATACATTTTCTACATATGGAGAAAGGAGATATAATGAGGTCTCTTGAAGCTGAAATCCAAGTCTGAAAACAAAACTCATGTATCTTTAATATATACCTTGTACACATAGCCTAAAGATACAGTATTTTTAATAATTTTGTGCATGAAACAAAGTTGGTGTCACATGACATCAGTTGTGGAGTTTCTTCTTACGGTCATGTCAGCACTCAAAAGATTTTTGCTTTTTTTTTTTTAATTTTTTAATTTAACTTTATTTTATTTTAATTTGACCAGAGAGGAGCAGAAAGAAAGAGAATGAGTTAGTGAGAAAGCAAGCTGCCAGGGCCGGGACTCGAACTGCAGTCAACCATGTGGGAGTCCAGCACCATTAACCACCATGCCATCTGCTTGCCCCAAGCACTCCAAAAAACTTTGGATTTTAGGGGTGGGCAGGTGGCATGCTGGCTGAGGCACCAGACTCCCACATGGCCAACTGCAGTTAAGAGTCCCAGACCTGGCAGCTTGCTTTCTCACTTTCCATTTCTCTCTCTCTCTCCGCCCCCCCCCTCTCTCTCTGGTGAAATTTAAAAATAATAACAAATAAAATTAAATAAATACTTCTTTAAAAAATATTTTTTAAGCATTTCAAATTTCAGAATTTTTGATTAGTGATGCTCAACCTGTTTTTTTTTAATTAATAGGTTTTTAAAGTAATTATTTATTTAATTTTATTCATTCATTCACTTATTTTAATTTAGCCAGAGAGAGACAAAGACGGGGAGAGAAGGAAAATGAGAAAGCAAGCCACCAGATCTGGGACTAGAACTGTGGTCAGCCATGTGAGAGTGTCCAATGCTTTAATCACCATGCCACCTGTTGACCCCTCAACCTGAATTTTAAAACTAAAAGTCAACCAGAGCCAGTAGGTTGTGTGGTAGTTAAGGCAATAGACTCCCACATGAGAGCTGACTGTAGTTAAAGTCCCAAACCTGGAGGCTGGAGGCTTGCCTTCTTACTTTCTCTTTCTCTCTCTCTTTTCCTAG